CTGCTAACAAAGATTGACATAATAAAAAGGAATTGGTACCATCTATTTCAATCGCCACTACAAGCGAAATTAAGGGTGGTGGTCCACGACCTGGGTAGTGTCGCCAACGCCGAAAATTGGGATTGAATGGTCCGAGTTTGTTGTTGCAATTTTTGGCCCTTTTTGGTTGCATGGGCAGCCTTCTTTTTGACCGAAAATTTCAAGCAGATCTGATGGAGTTTCAGCTACTAGTTGGGTGAGTTGGAAAGAGTGAAGTGAGGGTTTCAAGGTGGTATGTTGGTCAGACGATAAGGTGGTCGAAGGTTGGAGTTGTGGTGGTCCATATGTGGTGGCTCAAAATCCTCAAAATTCACCACTTTTGCTCCACCAACCGGAAGTTTGCACTTGAGGTCCTCAAAATTTTTTTATGGTCAAGTGTTTCAGTCCTTAAGTTTGAATTAGAATCATTTTGGTACTTTCAATGACCATTTGTGACATTGCCCGAAACTTAAGTGACCGTTTCTGAAAGTTTTAAACTTTAGTGATCGTTTTGTAATTTTCGCGTAAGTTTAGTGACCGTTTGTGAAATTAACCAAACTATTAATTTAAGAATGTCAAATAAAACGGCGTTTGACATTTTAGTTTAGAATAATGCTATTTGCAATCGCTCACTACGGCAGTCGCCCTACGTGGCATACACATGGTAGGTGGTTATTTGATGCATTAATAAATTAAAAAACTACCATATTAATGCATCAAATAATCTTTTGTCATGTGTATGCCACGTAGGGCGACTACCGCAGTGAGCGACTACGAATAGCATTACTCTTTAGTTTAAAAGTGACATATCATATAATTTTTTTAATATAAAACCTTAATTCACATCGTCTAATAATAATAATAATAATAATAATAATAATAATAATAATAATAAGAGCCCCCATGGCACATCTCCAAGTGGTAAAAGGGGAGGGTGGAGAAATCTAGCTTTACTTGAGGCTGCTGCGTCAAGGGTTCGAATCTTGAAATATGGATTTGACTCTTGAGTAAGTGCAAGTGTACAAGCAGCCTTCCACCCTGTACCCTTGGAGGCATAACCTGCGATTTACCTCCCTCATGATACTCCAGAGCAGTGGCGGTGGGGGACCCTCAAGGTTGGGGTTCAACCTTTAATAATAATAATTACGATTTAAACATCAGTTTAAAAGGTTCTATAAGCACATTATGTATTTAGCCAAATGATGTTTTGTTGAAAAATCAAATTACAAAGGTGTAAGTGACCTTTTAATTAAAAAATTGACACATCACGTCACTTTTAGTGTTTGTTTGGTATGGATTTTGATAATTATTTTTTTACCGTTAGATAAAGTGAGTCCTACTTGTGAGAGAAGATTTCAGAAATGACGATTGAAATAGTGAAATAACAGTCAAAAAATTGATAAGCCATACCAAACAAGCTATGCAATAGCGTAATTCCCATCTAAAGAAAAAGCTTAAGGTAAGATTTAAATATCAATACTAAAAGGTCCTTATAACATGATATTGTGAACCTAGTCAATAAATCAAATTACACCAACTGTTACCTTCTTTAATTTTTTTTAATTGAAATGACACAATATGTTACTTTTAATTGCAGGACATTAATTCACAGCCATCATAAAAAGTAATATTTAATTTTTAGTTTAAACGATTCATATAAGTATATTTTAAGCTTAACAAATTATCTATGAAACAAAATTAAAATACATGGTTTATGGCATTTTAACTGAAAGTATTTAATCTTTAATTCACATGTAATTATTACAATACAAAATAATACTAACAACTAAATATTAATTTAAAAAATTATTATAAGCATATTATTAGTTTAGCTAAAGATTCCAGTTGGAAAAAAATTAAATTAGACTTGTAAACTTTTAATTAAAAAGTGACATTACATGTAAATTTTAGAGAGAGCCTCATTTAAAACTCGACAAAAAAAATATTTATTTGAAAAAAAAATTGACTAGTTTTTAAGATCTTTAAAAATATATTTATCTATCAAAGAAAGTAAGAAAAATAACATACAACATTATCACACATTTTAAAAATAGTTTCCTTGTTTGAGCCCCATTTTTTTGAAAAAATATATTTTTAAACAGTGTTTTGACATCATTTCAACTACACATTTTTCAAATAAAATAATATTATACGAAAATCTAAAAAAATTTCTTATTTTTTAACCACACATTTCACATTGTTATACTATTCAAAAATGCATTTTCTTGACAAAAAGGGATCGAGGGCAAAATTATCATGCGATAGCAAGATGCAACGTGGAAAGGCTACCACTAAAGTAGATTGGGAAAAAGAGAGTTCACTTTTAGTCTACTCCATTGAGTTCCTATTTAATAACCATTATTTTCAAATTCATTTTTTTTACGTACTCATTTCTACACACACATTCATATAATAAATATTTTAAGCATAAATCTAAAGTTTTTTTTTTAACCACATATTCTCCTAAAAGTTACTATTCAGAACTCTATTTTTCCCAAATAATGATTGTCAAACAAGGGCTAAATAACTGGATTTTAATAATTGGAGCCAAATTGCATGTGCATAATTTGTGAATATGTGTCCGTGAATGATAGGTGTAATAACTTAATTTAAGTCATCTAAATTGGTGTTTTAACACTGAAAATATTATACTTTCTACTTACCCCTAATTTAAGGGTGTTTGTCTGAAGCCCAAAAATAAGGAGAAAATTATTTAAAACCACTTATTATCTTAACCACTTGCAATCATGTTTAGTTTAAAGGAGAAAATTAGTTAAAATTGAGGGACTACAAATTTATGAATTCTTAGTATTTTTTAATATATTATTTCAACCAATAACTTTTAATATGTATTTTTACATGCTACCATTTCTTTAATCAACATTGACTCTTTTTTTTAAATAGCAGTGTGGATGTGTAGGAATTTACTCTCATGCAAAACCATAACAATATAGAACATAGAATATCATGTGTAAATGAAGAGGATGAGATGGTAAGTAGGGTTGAGCAGGACCCAGTCATTGGCGGAGACGGGGTGGTTCTGGGGTCACATGAGTCCACAATTTTTGATTTATTTATTTTTAAATAAAGTTCTCTTTGATATCGATTGAAATTTAAATTTAAATTTAAATTAAATTTAATAATTGATTTTAATAACATATTTCATGGAATCCTAACTTTTCAACCTTTATCAAAATCTATTAAAAATATGATTTAATCCCCACCAAATATGAGTAAAATTACAATAAATTTGATTTTTTTTCCCTCTTTTCTTGTGACTCTCTCTCTCTCATGTATTTTTACCAAAATCTTGACCCTTCTAATTTTTTGAAATTCATCTATAATTTCTCTACAAATTATCACATTTAATATAAGTTTTCGCTTTCCAATCAAATTTTCAATTAATTAGAACCTCAATTTGCCTTTTCTTCTATCAAATTGTGTATATAAAAGGTGTCTGAAATGATTATGTTCAATTTGATTTATATTTGACGAATTGTGTTTATTTGATTGATTATTAGTATTTAATATTGATTATATGTTTTCCCTTTCGATTACTTAAATTGATTGTTTGTAAGGGTGCATTTGATCGCTAGTACTTTTCATGGAAATATGTTTTTTCCATTCAAATTTCTACTTTTGTGCTGTTTAATTGTCATTTTTTCCATGAAAAATATTTTCCTACTTTTGGTCACGTGATCATATTTTCTTCAAAATCAAGGTAAATATTTTCTTTAAAGGAATTATGATTTTATTTTCCAGGTCTCTCTCTCATTTACTCACCAATAAAAAGTGAACAAATTTAATATTTTCTAGGTTGAAAATTAAATTAATCAAACACATTTAATTGACAATTTACATGCAAATAAGTTCTAAGAAATTAAATTATCTCAAATATATTTTTTTTTCATACAAATTTTATGTTTGCAATCAAACGCACCCTAAATTCTTCCAATGTAAATATGCATTTTCTTGTAATGAGTAAAATATTAATAAAATGACTATTCGAAATCAAATGGATGAAAATGATGAACAAAATATTAATGAAGGAATATTTTTTAAATATAACTCAAGTCAAATATGAATATTGAAAAATCAAGAATAAAATATTTGATTTGTACAAAGTTTGATTGTGTCATCCTAACCCAAAATGTCTGGATCCATCTCTGGACCCAATTGCTCATTTATGCAAAGGCTGCAACCTCCGGTGCTATTTTTCCCATTATTATATAGTAATGTTATCTAGTAGCAATGATACCAAGCACCCTCGATAGTTGGTAGTGAGGTCGGGTGCTTAGGACCATTCTTGCTAGATACTTAGAATACATGTTTTCAAGAATAGCCAAGAGACATCACAAAGTACTAACAATTTCTTGAACAATACAAAAACCGTGTGCAAGCTAAATCCATTGAATTCAGATCCAATGAGCATAAAACTAAAATATGCAACAGAAGAGGTACTGGAAACTAAACGGTAAAAATAAACCAATTTGTCTCAGTATTCATTGTAAGTCATTCAATTATTGTAAAAGAAATAAGATGCCAATTGCTTGTGGTCCAAATGAGATAAGAAGATCCCAAAATACTGCACATAGAGAAGATAAAAATTCTAGTCTTCATTAGTTGGCATACTGTCACAATAAAAACGATTTTGGTGAGAATTTCAGCAAACAAAGAACTCTGTCACATCCCATCAGCGCAAAGTCAGTTCCATTCAATTTACGTCTCGGTATCTCCCTCTTACTTAATGACAAAAATCTGTTACAAATTGGCTCTTGAATCTTAAGAATGGGGCCATGTATGTAACACAACAGAAAGAAAAAGAAGATGGCAGATATCATGGAGGAAGAAGCAGCAGCAGCAAAGGTTAAATCGATTTTCATATACCCGGTGAAATCATGCCGTGGAATTTCCGTTTCTCAAGCATCAATCTCTTCAACTGGTACCGCTTCCACCATCTGCATGACTCTGGGTTAATTCTTAAAACATGTATTAGTTTTCTCTTACCACTTCTCTCAGATAACAAAAAGGAAACCAATTTTTACAAAATGAATGGGAGATTACTGAAGGAAACATAATATAACATTTTCTTGTGTGTTATTTCATGTATAACTTTTAGATGTAGTGATAACATTAGAAACAATTGAGAAATTCATATTTCTTTTCTATGATTTAGAGAGGTGTCATATGACATACGACAAATTAGAGGTTGTTTAAACACATAATAAGATATCAGATATGATCTTACGGGATAATTGAAATTCAACAACACTTACTTTGACAGGCGAAAATATTACCACTTATGTGTTGTTTTTATCAGTAATTAGTGGAACATTGCATAGACGAAAAATAAAACTAACAGATAGCCTGGAGTAATAGTATGGTACCTAAGCCTTCAAGCGAAGTGGCAAACAGTACCGGAAGGGTACTTTAAGGTTTCTGCAACCGGCCACCCGGTAGAATCTCTCTCATCGTAGAATGTCCTGAATCAAATCATGCATTCTAAAAGTGCTGCACTTGAACATCTGGAATAGTAAGTAACTACTGTTAAAATTTCAACGAAAATTACAAATAACTATGAATCAATGATGGATGCCATTACTAAGATGAAATTAACAAAATGGCAGACATCGAAGTGGATTCTAACATATGCAAGAACCTTATCATTGTGATCAACAAATGGATTGAAGTGTACGCCATCACCAATATCATCTGCAACATTGATAATCTGCCAAAGACAACTAGTTTCATGTCAGTTCAGCGACAAACTAAACTTATTCAAAAGAGAAAGGGATGATATGTAGTACTGGCCTCACTCTACCAAGGTGCACCATCCATGATACATAATGATTCTGATTCAAGATTCTTGAGTTCAAAAAACCAATTGCATCCATCAGTTATTAGCATGAAGCAAAATATGAAGAGATGAAATTTTTAGAATAAATCCAACATACCACAGTGTGCCATTGTTGAGGATTTTGCACGCCAATAATATAATCTATTATGAAAATCGGGGGGGGGGGGGGGGGGGGGGATTATATACATCTATTTCAGACAAAGAAACCCTAAGACCTGACAAGTAGGACATCAATTGCATGATTAGTAAAAGGTTTGATACAGTTTCAGGCCTTTTTAAGGACAAGAATTGCAATACTTACTGTGATAATTTTATCTATACATGTACATATAAATATACAGGCAAAATGAGCCCAAAAGGAAATGAAGAAGAGTAAATCAGAGGAAATCTAAGAGAAAAATTGCAAGACTAAATTATTCTCAACTATATACTATGAGACCTTGCTACATATACATAAAGATTTACATAATGGATTACATAATACCACAGACACTCTACCATCTGCCAATTTAAAACACAATCAATTTTTTCATCCAATATTTTCTCTCCACATCATGTTATGTAATCCATTATGTATATTTTTTACCTTGTAAAGATTATTTGGATGGAGAGTAGAACCATACATGCGGCAGAAATTCACGGGGGGTAAAAATTTCCAGACAACTTTCCAGCTCCGCTCTGTTTCACTCTCCATTTACTTCAATTCGTGCATCTCCACGTCAGATGCAAGAAGAAAACTTAGCACGTTCCATACATTTTTCATACTTCCAACTAAAACCAAATTTCTAGTTGTTCAAAGGCTCAATGAAATCCATTTAAGGGAGTAACTGGAGTCACATTTTTTAAATTTCCGAAGAGTAATTTCATCAAACATCTTGGTTGCAAGTGCTATGTTGTCACTAATTCTGCACCGTAAATCTGCAAGTGCTATTTACACGTGCTTTATGTTCATGAAACCTTGTCAAAATTATCTGGATGGAGGATGGTAGAATTTCCAGTAAACTTTTTAGCTCCACTATTTATTCACTCTTGATTTACTTCGATTTGTACATCTCCATTCGAGTTGCAGAAATTGAAACAACTCCATCTGGCTACCTATTTATTAATTGGTTATGGCTAATGTTCAATCAGACATTCATAACTAGTATGCATTACCGCAAATTTTGTGGTATCCACAACTATTCATCTTTGTTGAAAACGAAGATGATATAGACTTGCGCTCTGATGTCACTTGTTGAAGAAAATATGAAATTATTGGCTCAATTGGAAGTAGTGGATCACAAGCACAAAATAATTTGAGAGTAAAGAAGATTTCATTAAAACATGGAGCAAAAATACAAAGATTTTGTGCTTACTATTTTATTTAACTTAATCTAAAATACAATGAAGAAATATATATATATATATATATATATATATATATATATATAAAGTATAGTTATAGATGGAAATGAATGTTCAAAACACGAAAAAAGAGCTGGATCGGACAAGCGGTCGTTTGAGCGCCAGCGGCTTCCGAGACAAGATTACGACGGCATTGCTCGAGTGGTAGGCTAGTGGCCAACTAGTGGAAAAGCCCCTAAATTTTCTCCTCGGCCCATATCTTGACTTCTTCAAGTCCAACATAATTCCAACTCTAAATTGGACTTCCAAATAGAATTTCAACTAGAATTTGTTAACTAAACTTTGAATAGGATTTTAAGCCCCCGTTTGTTTCCCATGATTTACTAATTAAAATGAAAAATATGATCGTTATCCATCACATCAAGTCATCATATTTGACTTTCTATCTCTTGTGTGGGACCCGTAACGACTATATTTTTCATTCTTATTTTTACATTAATGTGTACCAAACGGGCCTTAAATAACATTCCAAATAGAATTTTGGTCACTTCCTAATTCAAACAAACTTCACATTGACACAAATTTCACTGCATTGAACAAACTTCAAAGATTATCCACTTGAAGACAAATTCTACTACAAAGAATAAACTTCACCTCTTCAACCAAAACACAAACGAAATTTTCTATCCAGATTTTCAACTAGAAATATTTTCCAAAACTTTGTAGCAACATTGTACCTATTTGGAGGCTTATGATAAGTAAAATGGGTCTGTTACTAGCAACTAAATACAATGGTAGTGCCAATAATGGTAGCAAAGCGGCATCACTCATAACTTCTAAATTCAATCGATTGTATTCTTCAAAGAAGACCCCAAACTAGACTCCAACAGTGCAGAATCCAACTCCAAGTCTACTTGAGTTCTTAGAATATGCCGATTGATCAAAAAGATTTTGTATAACATTACAAGACATATAACTGGGATTTTCTATGTCCATTCAACAAAACATGGACTCTTTTACTAATTTTGAGGACTCCACATTCGACAATGTACCTGTACCATTTTGATTCAAGAGTACTTAAGGAGATACAATTTCTTCTCAAATCTAGAACGTGTCTCATAGCATCAAGTATTGTAACCATCCCATCAATGATCTTTATTCTAATCCGGCCAATACCAACTATCCTACAACGTTTATTATTTTCCATTACCATAACATATTTTAAAACTGTTTCATATGATGAAAATGAATCTCAATTGGGAAACATATAAAAAAATGCAAGTTGTATCAAGAATCCAATCCTGTTCAAGTTTGCAGTCGTAATAAAAAAATAATATGGCCAATACCAAATATCCTAAAGGGTGTATTATTTTCCATTACTGTAACATATTTTGAAATTGTTCATATGTTGAAAATAAATCTCGATTGGGACACATAAAAAATATAAGTTATATCAAGAATCCAATCCTCATCAAGTTTGGAGTTGTAGTTAGAAATAAGTAAAACTTTTCCATCACTGTGACAATTTTCTGCAATACTAGCTTCCCTTGAAGTTTCCAATTTCTAATTTACAGCCAATTTTTCTTTATTCTGCAACTTATAACAATCCTTTTTCAAGTGCTCATTTTTCTTGCGATAATTACAAAATTTAAAGTTAGACTTTAATTTGCTCCTTGCACGATCATCATTAACAACGAGGCCATCTCCATGAACCTAAATTCCAACAAAATACTTCATCTTCTCCTTCGAATATAGAGTATCATAGACTTCTTTAATGGTGAAAGTATCACGTCATGTCTCTAAAGACATAAATGAAGCAAGCAATGTACATAGTAAAATTAAACCCGAATCTTCTCCATCATATTTAACCTTCAAGATTTCTAAATCAGCGACAGTTTCCTTATAAACAGCTACGTGAACTTCAAGGAATGTTCCTTTTATCATATTATGATAGTATAAGTGCTGCTTCAAATGCAATTTACTAGTTAGATTTTTCGTAATGCATAATTGCTCCAATTTCAACTATAATGCAACAACTAACTTCTCCTTCAAAACGTCATGAAGAATATTATTTGAAATATGAAGACGAATCTAAGATGGGACATTTCGATCATTCCATTGTTTCTCATCCGGCATCCAAGTTGTTGGCATTTTGTCAAAACCCAACAACGCATCATCCAAATCTATCTTAGCAAGTACCGTTTGCATCTTTACCCGTCACAACGAAAATCTTGTATTGCGATCCAAAAGCGAAATATCATATTTCATGGTTGCCATTACGAAAGATCAAGCTAATCTCTTTACATGATTTTAACCTTGATCTCCCATAAATTTCCAAGCCTTTAGCTCTAATACAAGTTTGTTGAAAACCAAGATGATACTGAATTGCTCTGATACCACTTTGTTGAAGAAAACATGAGAAGAAAAATTATGAAGTAATTGATAATAAGAATACAAGAACAAAATAACTTGCAGAGTAAAGAAAATTTCACTAAAGCATGAAGAAGGAATACAAAGATTTTGTGTTTACAACTTTGTTTAACTCAATCTAAAATATAATGAAAAGCTAAATATATATAGAGGATGTCCAAAACCCTAAACGTATAGTTAGAGATGAAAAGAAATGCTCAAAATGCAACAAAATACGAAAAGGGCCTAAACAGGACGAGCCAACACTCGAGCGCAGGCAAGAGCCATCTCTCGAGATAGAATTGCGACGACGTTGCTCAAGTGGTAGGTTAGTAGCTAGCTAGTTGAAAAGCATCCAAAATTTTTCCCTGGTACATACCTTAACCCCTTCAAATCCAACACAAATTCTAACTCTCAATTAGGTTTCCAAATAGAACTTCAATTAGAATTTGTTAAATAAATTTTGAATAGGTTTTCATATAACATTTTAAATAGAATTCGGGTCACACCCTGATTCTATCGATCTTTATAAATCATTTATAAATTTGCCAAATAGGGGCCAAATTTAAAAGTTTCAAACATTTTTCAGAGAATTTTTAAGTATAACCGGAATCATATGTCCAATAAAGATGAAATTCGAATTAGTCAAATGCCAAATAGGATGCATATAAATAAATAAGTACAGAAACAATAAGAATAATTTCTATTACGGATTTACTTGAAATTCAACTACAATTAATGATAATTTAAAGCTCAACTCTTGATGTTCTACTGATCTGTTTTCATGTGAAATGAGTGATATATAGGATTAACAAAATACAAAATAAGGCACAAGATTTATAGACGTTCGTCGTCGCAACAATAATTCACCCTATAAAAAAATGTTTGCAAGGAAAAAATTGCACACTCTCTCTTGTATGATAGAACAAAACCTAATGATCTTTCCTTATTTATATGAAAAATTAGGATAATACTAAAATTACAAGTGTAAAGTATTGGATTGTGTGCCTATATAGTATATATTACAAAAATAACAAGTGTAAAATGTTGGGTTATATTATCACGTGCCATAATATAAGTTGGATAGCTATGTTGAGAAGTACAATGTGATACAATTTATATTTTGATTATAAATAATTTGTTTATAATTAATGTTTAAGGGTTGACACCTTGTATTATAAGGTTGTAGTGTTGACTAATTTACTAATTGGATTTGCAATTTATCCTTATTGTAGAAATAGTTAAATATGACACTAATACACTTAGAGTGTATTGAACGAACCACATGTCGAGTTTAATTCTATAGAATAATTGTACGAAAAATTAAATTTCACTTGATCGTTGTGTGTTTCATCTAAATCCTTTGACATGGTTATGTGTATCTTTTTTATTAATTCTAATGATTCTTTGACTCATCAATGAGTGAGATTAATTTGATTGATCAAATATATAGGTGAATTGGGATTTTGAAAATGAATGAAGGAGAGAATATGAATTCTTGTCAGGAATCGTTATCCTGAAATATTGGTAGAATGAATATTTAAGTATTTTCTATTAAATAGCTAAAATCTAAGTTCAGTGTTTAACGATGACTAAACTTCGACCTCTGTGATTTGTTCATATGACTATTGAAGAAAATAAAACTTAAGTTAGTGAGACTAATTAAAAGGACAAAAATGTCATTTATGCTCATGCGTAATTATCGAATCTCGGATGTGAATAAAATAGATATACAACAGATCACATGAAAGCATTACAAATTCATTGACTTTTATGATTTTAAATATGTCAAGAGTTCAGTCTTTTACTTTTAATGAAAAAAGTAAAAACTAATAATTAGAATGGATGGCCCAAGATCGACTAAATAAGATTTAATTATTGGAGTTTGAATAATATATGTTCAATCAGGTCTTGTGGTAGCTCTGTAAAGTATTGAGACTTAATTACGATAATTATAATAGTTGTTCGTCTTAATTGTAATTACAATTAAGTTTTGTACTTAGTTATAATTGCTATGAAAGTTGTAAACTTAATTATAATTGTAATTATAGTTATAGGACTACACATGTAATGAATGCAAACTAATTAGATGTGAACTTCAATTGAAACTCCTGTTTGGATTTTAAATAAGAATGAAAGGGGTTCAAAGAAGTGAAGGATCTAAGACTAGAGAAAAATCAAATTTTTATTCATATAATCAGGTTGTGAACTAGAATAGATAATCCCCTCTATTTATTAATCAAATAAATTTAAAAAAAAAAAAAGTTAAAATGAAATAAACTTCTAATAATATCAAAAATATCAAAATTAATATTATTCAATCTAATCAAATCTAATTAAATATCTTTGGAATCAAACTCTTATAATCAAATCCAAACTAAAATCCCTCTCTATTTTTATTCTTGTCATGATCTTCATCGTTTATCTTCGATTGAAAGAATTCGACTCCAATGAGGTATACTTTTGAACTTGAGAACAAAGGATGTTAAGTCGAAGGAGAATGAATTGCTCTGGTACCAAATTGACACAGAAAAGTATACTTTAACAATGAGCAATTAAATAATAAGAAAGAAATGGGTTCCAAGAAGCGAATATTTGAGAGCAAGGAGAAAATCAATCTTTATTCATATAATCAGGTTGTGAATTACAATGAATAAGCTATTCTATTTATAAAACAAATAAACTAAAAGAAGTTAAAAGGAAATACATTTCCAATAATATCAACACATCAAAACTAATTAAATATGTTTGGAATCAAACTCTTATTATCAAATCAGAATTAAAATCTCTCTCTATCTTTACTCTTGTCACGATCTCCATCAAAGTGATGCTCCAGGAACAGAAGAAGAATTCGACGACAAGATTTCCCAAAGAATATGAAACTAGATTTAACCTTTGCTGTTGCTACCATGATCTCTGCCATATTCTCTTTCCCTCTGTTGTATTACACGCATAGCCATGACACCATTCTTGAGATTTATACGGCAAGTTTGTAAAATATTTTCTACGATGAACATTGAGATTATTGTTTAGTAAAAATCAAAGTATATGTCACTATCAGGCTAGGTCAGTATATACTTTCTTTCATTTTTCATCAGATTTGAAAGTTGGAAGGTCTTGAAAACATATCCAACCCGATCAGTTGGAAAATGATTTTAAAGAAGATTAATGTAATTTGTCAATGGCAAATGGCCAACTAAAGAAGATCAATGTAATTTTATTTTTTTATTTTTTTGGTAACCCAGGTGTCCAAACTTTATCCAACTAATCCTGAAAAGTGACAGCCTTCCCCCCTCTACCTGAATAAATTCGAATGCGATCACAACTTATATACACTTGAACCGGATATTCAAGATGCGATTCTACTACATGTGGACCTCCCTTTACGATGTGCAGATAGACCCCCGAAAGAACGACAAAGCGTACCATAACTTAGCATCCACGTGGATTTGTCTTCCAACATAAATGTTGTCTTCTAGCTACCACGTGGATTTGAAGCTCCGATGTTT